GGAACCACTGGTCTAGCCTATTTTTATTTGTCAGAAACCTTCGGCTTGTCTTTCTTATCAGACCTGACGCCGACTCCGCCCCCATGCGGAAGTAGAGCAGACCTCCTACAAACAAACAGCGGTATAATGGCAAAAATAGTGGAACTCAATGAGTTACAGGGGACGTTTTTTGAGTCATTTTTGCTAAGCCAAAGCTGAGGCAAAGACAACAGACAAGTTTCTTGCTAAGGTCATTTGCTGGAAACAACGGAGAAACAAACCTGTTAAAGCCCAAGTCTTTTGAAGCCAGAGGAAGAATGGTGTGAACAAAGTCTCACTGGATGTCAATGCTACGTCTGCCGCATTTTGCACACGTCCAAAGCGGGTGAGTAAAAACTTAAATAGTCCGTCTGTTGACAATCTGCCTTCAAGAAAGTGCTTTTAAATATATAGTAGCATAAAAAGGTGTGCTACCGTTGTAATTACATAAAAGATCAAGTAGAACTACCTTCACTTGCTGATCTTTGATTTAACTATCAATAAGTCTAGTTATGACAATAAATGGGAGGTTTACTACCAGTTATCTTTGTGCACTGCAGACGAATATATATGGTGGTTGCCACCTGTATTCACGCGCCACTTCTTAAGTGTTTTATTGGTGGTTGACAAACCAACTTAAGGTGTTTTTACCGCCACCTGCCGGACTGGAGTGTGAACATCAATGATAATCAAAGGGAATTTCACTCGCTTTCCTCATTAGCCTCAGAAGATATTGTAAACTGTTTGTGCTTTGGTTACTTTGGAACTGTTTGTGCCTCTGGTGGACCCGCTACATTTTATTGTTGAAATTTAACATAAACAGAAACTTTTTTACATTTAAAATACAAAAGAGATGTTCACTTCACCTCAGTTTAAAAAATATAAACAACATGGTTTTATTTTAGATTTATTTCACATAAGATAGTTAATGGTTGATTTTTGCCTTTGAAATAAAGCATTTTAAGAATGAAAAGTACCACTCATTCATGTCTGTTATATGACAAAAACGGAAATGAGTTCTATTCAATATATAAGTAAAGGTCTATCTGTTTACCATCTGTGAAACAAATCTACATGGTGTATCATTCTTTCTGCTCCTTTTGCTATAACCTGTAGCAAACAGTCTTTTACCAGCAGAGGTGATTAACTTTCCTGCAGGCAGCATGTGGGCAGCTACAATCAATGAACAAAACAACATGTGATATCACAGTGTTATTGATGAACACCCCTGCTGTCCCACTTATCTTTAGACAAAAGAAGCATTCATGGGCACCATTTATCCTTCAAGCTTCACTCAGAAATTTAAAAATTTTTTTCAAATGTTTTGTTAGATTTAGTCAAATACCTTTTAGCACTGCATTCTGACTGAAACAGATGTTGAAGTTCTGTTTCTTTTCTGTTGCCCCAGAATTTATTTGTTCAGAACAGGTCAATAATATGTGTAATTTACTTACTACCGGGTTTTATTTTAGATCTATTTCACATAATTTAGTTAATGTGTAAAATTTCTCAGGTCTTACTCTCAGAGTCCAGGCCAAAGTTGTATTTTAATCTGAAAACATTATTTATTCATATTAGAGAGAAAAGGCCTATGCTTTTATCAAAACACTGACTCACTCTGTGTATGTTCTCGGAAGTTATTGCTTTCAAAGTGTTTGCTCTTGTGAAGAAGACGCAAACTCCGGTCAATGCCACGTCCCTTCCATCAGTTACAAACACTTTCCTTATGTGACCTGGCTGGTGGGAATCAAGCCGGGTGGGTGGAGAGGTTGCAGCTGCTGAAATAAGGAGTTAGTCATCAGTCTACGTTACTGCTGGACCGTTTTCTATATTATCACTAGCAACAAAAATAATTGCACTGAAGATATTTAGTCAGTTTTGATTCACTGAGTGCTCTTTTTGTCATGTTACCTCCTTCTGCGAGTTCAGTGTCCTGATAATAAAACATGAGGTGTGGAAGACCACTTGCCACAAAGAACTGTTCCATACGATCAATCTGTTCCAAGAAACAAAATAAATCGGCATCATGAGATTTTGCAGACGTTGATGGAAAATGTTATATAACACTGAAAAAATAACAACCAGACTGCAAAATTATTTTTCAAAACATCCCAAACAGAAAAATGCATAGTTTCAAAATCAATTCAGTCTAAATCACACTTTTTTTCAGTACTAGTTGCAAAAATTCAAGTAGTTTATAAATGTGTGCTACTAATATGTGATAATGTCCTATGTTACAGTTATCATTGCACATTTATTCATTTGAAATCATAGATAATTTTAAATGAACTTCCTGACTGCTTATTGTAGTCTTTCCTAACTATTTTGTGCTTTTGCAATGCCCAGGACAACAGATAAAAATAGCACATAAAAAAAGAAATGATTGAGAGCTTTCACTTGGTTTCTTTTCAAAATTGGCAAAACTATATTCTTTGTTTTTTGAAGGTTACTTATTGTTTCCTCCTTAAACAATAAGGACATTTAAGAGAAAGTTTAACTCACACACCTGATTTCCTTCCAGAATGGCATCTTCAACATCAGACTTCTCCAGTCCCAGGCATGAAGCCACAATATTGAGGATGTAGTCATGTCTTCCGTCCAGCTGGGCGCGCTTAGCCTCACGCTCCTCTTTTAGCTTTTGCTGCATAAAAAAAAAATGTACAGATAGATGTTATTGTTGAACTGATATGGATGAGCTCTGAAGTAAAAACTAATAAGTACTTCATGTTGATTAAGTACTGACTTAATTTAATCCATTAAGCAAAGGTAAAGTCATTGTGTGATTCAGCAAAAAGTAATAACTAATAAATTTGTCCATTAGATTAAATATCTTTTTTAAATAATTGTTGTTTATTCATTTTAAATTTTATTTTCCTGTTTAACATCAACTCAGACACAACAATATTCAAATATTCATCTTAACTTTTAAGCATACGTCTCCATCAGAAGGTTTGCGATCTGCACTGAGTGGCCAGATTTCACAGCTTTTTTAGCATTAGGATAACGCTGCACACTACAATTACAGGAAACATACCATTTGGTCTTTATCTTGGTCTTACACTTAAAAAACAGTAGGTTCCGAAGCACAATATATTCTAATGAAGTTTCATATTGAAACTTCTCATTCATTTCATGAACAAACAGGCCTTACAGGAGTTATAATAGCATAAAATATTATGGACGTTTGTTCTGCAGCAGGTTTATTCCAGCGTATCTGAAGAAGATCAAAAAGCAGCCAGGCGGAGCTAAATATAACACCACTGAAATCATAGCAAAGTGTTGAAGGATACATTTCAAAGCCTGGTATAATTAGAGTCTGAAAGTTATGATTTATGGAAACAAAGGGTGTCACTAATACATAAAAGCTTAGGTGAATGAAATGAAAATACAGAGAGTTTTTATTATTATTATTGTTATTTTCATTAAGAAGATAAGAAAAATGGTGGAAAAATTGGGTGGGATTAGCTTCAGTGTAACTGCAGAAGAATAATCCTATAAAAGCTTCAAGGCTGAAAAGTGAAAACTGAAAGGAGTCTTTCTTAGTTAGACCCCGGGGGATTGGCTAGTGAGAGGAGGAGCAGGCCGGCTTCCTCGTTTAGAGAGGGTGTCAGAGTTAGTAAGAGCATTAGCACATTTGGCCATTGGAAGCTGTAGAGGTTTGGCAATGTGCAAATCAGAATGTATCAGGAAGGTTAAAAATGGTTTTGGTAAAGATCCCCGAGGTGACCCAATTACAGTTGTTGATGTTGTTAACAGTGCTATACTGCCTTAAGGATGATATTGAGTTATAATTCTGGGAAGGGGTCTGCCTGCATTGAGTTTGCATGTTCTTCCACAATCCAAAAATATGAATGTTAGATTAAGTGGTTGCTCTACATTATACTTCGGTATGAGTCTAAGTCTTTTAGGGCTGTGTGTTTCTGTGTTGCCCTGTGATGGACTGGCTCTCCAGAGTATCCCGCCTCTCTCCCAACATCATACTTTATGTCAAACAAAGGTATTATGCATTAGAGCTAGTCCCTATCAGAATCAAGAATTAAATTCTAGATTAATAGAACCAAAAACTAAATAAGATCATTTTATTCATTTTCTACAACTAAAATGATCTTTGAAAATGAACATTAAGAATCGACCTAAAACAGTAGTTTTCTTTACTCCAAGAATGACTTGTCCTCTCCCTGGCTTTGGTCTAATTTTGAGTGATTATGTCTGACATTAAATCTGAGAAAGAAAAAAATGAGTTTTAGTTTCAGAAACCCATTTTCTCCACCATCTTTAATCAGATTGAACCACAACAGAAGTAGAAGGAGAGCCTTATATTTAGCTTTTGTTTGTTTTACTGTTCTCATTATTCTCTTTCTTATAAGGAAAATCATTGCACAAACAACCCCTAATAGGTGACTAGTGGCAGTAAAGTAGACAGCCAATAAGAGAGATGTAACTTGTATATTTTTTTATTAATTGCATTATTAAACAGCTGAGTGACAAAGTATAGTAAAGTGTATATCATATTATTTATCATATCTCCTTTAAAGTTGTAGACAGGAATTAATGTATTTGGGGTTTTAAAAGAAGAAGAAACTGAATATTTTTTATAGGGACTGTGATGATAGGCATTCAGACAAAGAGCTTTGATCAGCCTAGTGAGGGCTTTTAAAAAAATCTAGCATAGGAAATGTGGTAATGCAATTAAATCGGGATAAGAGGTTGTTGTGGCTGAATGCAAGAGTCATGTTCAAGGTAATGGAAGAAAGCGGTAAGAGGATGGTTTCAGAGGTTCATATGTAAAAAAGGCTGCTCTACCTCTGCAACACTGTTTGACCACCGATTCGGGATGTCTGTGAGTGTGATTAGGATTCACATTACAAGCCACATCATTCAACTCCAGTAGTTGAAAATCAATTCACACAAAGAGTTTGGAGATTATAGTCATAACTACAAGTACCTTTCATCACTTACTGATTGTAAGGTACTTGTAGTACCTTATTTTTTTAGATTTGTAAAATTTAAATGCATGCACATACATGTTACATTTTTATTATTCAAAGTTTATTATGAATTGCCTCTTCTAACAGTGCACCATAAAGGTAATAGAATTGCTTCAGATTGTGATATTCATATTATGCGTTTTGGGACAATTTCACTTTCACTGTGAAAAAAAATCCCAATTGTAGTCCCACAAGCAGATCAATCACTTTTTTTGTTTGTTTTGCTGACTGTTGTAGACGTGACAAAAGCACTGTATCATGTGTGCTACTGAGAGCTTAGTGAGATGGGGCAGAGAACCAAAAATAAAAAATAGACAAGCTCTGACTAACCAGAAACACAAAGAAATAACAGATGTCCCCATTAAAGTTAACACACAAGTGTATAACATAATACTTGTTTAAAATTTGGATGCGTTTCGTTTAATAAAATCTAATTTAGTCTTTCTGCAAGATATTTTTTATCAAATTGGTTACAATTAAGTTTGGAAGACTGGATCAGCCAAATATCCCAACAGCCTTCCAGCACTGGAGTAAACTGGGCAGACAACACCCTCGTGAGCCTTTACTAGTAACCATTTCCAACTTACAGGAACAAGGCTAAGAGATCTAACAGAACCAGAAGAAGCCAAACGCTTGTTCTGAGAAAAAATAGGACACATATGACCTGCCCGGGGATGTTTTCTGTTTTAGAAGTTATATGCACAAATTTAGAGTTTATGTTTCTATGCAAAGAGAGATAGATGCCATTTAAAATGGCTATCTTCATTAACTAAGGGCCTTCAATTCACAAACTATTAACAATTCAGTTTAAGTGGTTAACACCATCTTGTTTGTTTATTAATCAGTATATAAATTGTATTACCATTAGTTTATATATTGTTTTAATGAGCAGATGGAGTTTGCAAGAATAAAGTTTGCATTTGAAGAGACCTTATTTTGCTCATAAAATATTATCCTCCTTCATCTCATAAAGTATACAGTTTATAGTCTCTCTGAAAAAGAAACTTTGCCCAATTTGAGACTTTAGTTTGAAATAGATAAAAATACTTTATCTAAACATACTGACATAAAAGCTAATGCTCCTCCTTTAACATGTACAACCTAGTAGTGAGACATTTTACCATGTGTTCCACATACACATGGAATACATGGTAAGTACGATATATGGATATATGTAGCCATATATCATACTTTCTAAAATGGCTAATACAAAGTCACTTAGATCGATTTAAAACTAAAAGCAATGTCTGAGTTACTTCACTTTTACAGTGCCTTTAAAAGCACCGCAAACTGATAAAGAAGTCTTGCTCTGTTCAGGCTCTGCTGTGAAACCTCAGGATATGGTCGTGCAAAGAATTATTTACATTTAGGTTTAATAAAGTAGCATTCAGTTGAATTGAACAGTTACGTAAAAGTAGCACAGATGCAAAAAAAAAAAAAAAGTGGTTATTGATGTCAGACTGAAAATAATTTCTTATCTTTTAGAAGATTTCCGAACAAAACTCAACCACAGTAGCATTATTGGTCAGACATGTAAACAGTACACACTACAGCTGTCTGGGGGACTTCTCTTTAACGTTTTGCAACTTTTCTCTGTCTTGAGTCCTGAGTTTCTAAACGGCAACATCAAAAAGCAAAAATACATAATACATAAAGTGTTATGCTGCACATGAATTTAATGAGCAGGTGGAATCTATGCCAAAAGCAATACACAGGCACAAATCAACAGTTTCATCCAATGGTAGTCACGCATGTTTATTTCTTTGCATTACACAGAGGGGAAACCATTCAGAGGCAGACTCCCGTCACAACAGTACAAACATTGAAATCCTTCAGAAGTGAACAAAAGCCCAGGCAGAGATAAGCCGTGCCAAACTGGGCAAGTCCTATGCTGAACTGTCAGCTCTGAAATTAAAAAGTAAACTGTTGTGACAAAACAAAATAAAATGAAAAAATACAACACAACAGGTTATCATGCACGATGATGCATGATGTGAAAAAATGGTAATATGCTGCCAAGCATAGAATTATAACAAAAACGAAAACTCGTTGAGTTTATTTCTGTTCGTTCCATTTCCAATGTCATGGTAGGAAATGAAAGAGCTGAAGATGGCATTTAGCAGGACAGTAAGAGAAGTAGATGAGAACGGAAGAAAAATATCGTCAGCTGGCAACCCAGTCACTCAAATTATTTCTCTTACCCGAATGACCTTTGAAACAATTTGTCTCCAGTGCCTCTTCCTAAACATCTGTGACATGACAGCTTGCTGATCAGCACCTCACCTCTCCTGCGTCTTCTCGATAGCCACCTATCACTTTCTCATCTGCATGTGCACTCGCACCTCGGAAGGGTTAAGGCTATCAATTGTCAGTGTTGACTACCCAACCAGGTGAGCTGCAGCTGGAAATGCTATCTATATGACTAATCGCCACTCCAAATACAATTTGAGTTTAGCACCACATGGAGACATGAAAAAACAAAAGTGTGTAGATGAGATCCGGTACTTAGTTTACAGATATTAACGCATATAGGAAATTTTATTTTATCTTCTTCCCAGCATTTTGTCCCTTTGTTTTTAAGATGTGCTCAGTGAGCAGAATGCAGTAGATATTTTGTTGAACAAAAGGTCAAAAGCAATTAAAAGGCTTTTTTTATTTATTTATTTTTAATATAATACTAGAAACACCAGTAAAGCTTTTAAAAAATGGTTTTGATAGTTGGCTACTTGTTGGAAGGATTAATTGAACCTGATTACATTTCAGCTGCCTGATTAACCTAATTTTAAGCAGCGATTATTATTTTTCATGATTTTAAGGTCAGGACTATTGAGAATTTTTTTTTTTTTTTTTGTCTTTTATTTTACATTTGACCTTCTCCTGACCGTATTAACAGAGCTATGCTAAAACCTTTTGTACCACTTGAGCTAAATTAGTAATTCTCCAAATCCAGTCCTCATGAGCTGGTGCCCTGTAGCTTTAAATGCATCTATGCTCCAACACTCCTGAATTATAAGGTCAAGTTGCCTCCTGAGCATCACTAAGTGCTGGAGTGGACTCGTAATGAAGCATTCATTTGACTCAGTGGTGGTGGAGTCAGGATGCATCTAAAAACTGCAGGACAGTGGCTCAAAGACTGGCCGAAATTATACCAGTCCCACCATTTGAATTCCAAGGTCAAATAATTTAACCTGATAGTCAAATAGAGTTTTCTTGTCTGTAATTAAATAGCCACAGGGGGAGATCTGTTTGAAACAGCATCATGGTGACCAAGGAACACAACAGAAAATAGATTTGTAGTCAAGACCACCTAACCATAAGCTCCATTCATTTAGAGCTTATTCCATGGCACTTTATGTCGTCAAGAGGTCGAGATAAAAACTTCCTCTTGAAAATGGTACAACCAACTTGTGTCTTAGGACTTTATACAAGATAAGTTCCTTCTGAAAAAGTAGCTCTAAGTGCAAATTTTTCATGCATTTATTTCATAACAAATCTTAAAGGTATTAAAGAAAGGTTAAAGCCATAAAGACCAGAGAAACTTGATAAATTTGCCCACAAATCAATTTATCAAAGTTACTCTATGTTGGAAAATGAACCCCAGAAAGATTGTATTTTAATGAAATAACATTTTGTGTAATATCCGTTGCTCAGTGACGCATAAAAGCTATAATAACCAATAAAACCCCAAAACATCCCATTTCATTTCTTTGCAACAACTTTGCTAAATATCAACTACTCGTGCACTACCATACCTCACAGAGAAATATCAGTTCTGAACTTAATAGCTTCCTTACTCAGGGATACAAAAGAAAAACAACAGCTAATCAATGATGAATTACAGTCAGCCAACGCTAATTGAGCAGCTAGCTCGTCTGTAACATCAGAACTCTTGGGTCACCTTACCTTGTTTTGATAGTCTGGTTTAAAATGCAGCATAGTTGTAGACGGCCTTTCAGACTGGCTGTCCTTTTTATATCATTCCAAACGCTTAGCTGATTTAGCTTTTCATGACATTAGAGAACTACAAAGACAAGACAACAGAGAAGAAGTGGTTTTACTGCACTATGGGAGCAATCAGCCTCCTTGTTTGGCATGAGAGAAAGGTTAGTGCCCTGAAATTATCAGAGCGTTGCTCGTGAAAGGGTACTGCTAACTAGATAATGTGGTGTTGGATGACGTCCTGTCAGCATGGTAATTATCATGGTCCCGCTCTCACCTTACCAGACTTTTATAACAATAGGATGGAGAGACAAAGGAGAGTTAGGGTAGAAAGACTGTTTGGTTGGTGGGGGGGGGGGGATGTTCAAACACTGGCTCTCTTGAAGTGCAAATGCACCGCAAACACGTGTGACCTATATGGTGAGTGAGTGTTGTGGTTTCACACACTCGCACCTTCATTATGCTGTCTGAATGACCATTGTATAATGATTGTTTTACTCACATAGTTAGAGCAGTTGTGTGACAGCGAACAGACGGTGCCACTAGAAGATAAGTTTATGATACATTGTGAGTTAATATGCTATCTGTAAAAAAATAGTAAAATAGTTGCTTATACAAACCACATGTAACAACCTTGAACTAAAGACCACAAAAATAAGGTATTTTTTTAAGTATGTTTTTGTTTAATTCTGTGGAACTAATCAGTATTAAACATCATAATTATAATTTCTTCATTTTGATATAATTTCAGCTCACCTAGCGTCTGTACTTTTGAGAGAAGTATTTGCATTTGTTTCAAGCCTGCAAATGCTAAAAAAGTTTTGCAGTTAAGAGAGTCATTGTTGACCATAATGATCTCCCAAGAGAAGAGCAGGAAAATCGACAGAGTTTGTCAGATATTTATTTTTCCAAGTAAGCTGTGCCTACAATAAGATGGCGCACACAAACACAATGGTGGGTTGTAAAAGGTAAGGCTACATCAGGGAAGATATCAGTGTCAAACCAGAAAAATGAAAGGCAAATGACAAAAAAAAAAGATAAAATAAAAAATAACAGAAAAAGGAATCAATGTCTGTGTGAGCAGTTTTAACAACTAAACTGGACAAAGCAAGATTATAGTCAGCTAAAGAAACAATCATGAATTGTGGATAAACTGGTGATAGATTCAGTGATGAATGTTAAATCTGGACTGGCCCAAAGAGGTGTAACTGGAGCAGTTGTTGGACGCCATCAGAATAAATCTCCCTGGCAGTCGTTATCTCTGCAGTGTATGTATTGGTGGGCATTGAAATTTTAAGACTTTTCTTTCTAGGAAATCATATATATAGTCAAAGGCATAGCTAGCAAACAGTCTGAGTCTCAATCCAATTAAAAGTTTGTGCTTATCTGTTAACTGTTGTCAGAGAATGTTGCAGTCTAATTGATAAAAACTTAGAATTTCCATTAGTGAGCTCAAAGATCAAGCTGTGATAAAAGCAATTGGAGATGCAACAAAGTCAACAAGCCAGGTTGAAAAGGCTAAGCAATTATGCACTATTTTAATTCTTCTAGTATCGTATTCAGATTACTTAAAATGTTTCTCTTAATTGCAAGTGTAAGTCAAGAGTCCATGGTCTTCAAGTACGTTTTTTATTATTATTATTATTATTCAAATCTATGCTCAGCAGTGAGAATGTAGACACCACATACAGAAAACAATTTGTTTAAAGATTATGCAAATAGTGGTTACAGTTCAGAGTTATAAGTAATGATTCATCAGTGGACTGCACACTGGATTGGAGCTTAGCACTGTTGCCTTAAAATTCCCTGAGTTTGAAATCTGGCAGTAGACGCAGAGGAGTATTCCTCAAGCTGAATAAGACTGTCAGTCCAGTTCATCTGGTCCCTGGTAAGAGGTTGGGTCATGCAAGGATAACTGTTGTTGATTGGTTTGAAACTACATGATACACACAGAACTCTGACCCAGTACTCAGAACATGTTCAAGAATAAATTAGATGTCTCTAAGGATCCCTGTGTGTCGGAGAAGAGACAGGAAAGCATAGCAATAAAATTTGGTTCGGCCATGAGCTGATATTTCTGTGTTGAACTTTCTGCTTGTAAGCTGCCACGAAACAAGAGAGTGATTATGAATTATAAATGAAGAGGCTGGCTCCCCAAATGAGAATACATTGACTAAGACAGGAACAGGTCTGTGTTTTCACTGGGAATATTTAAGCTTACCCTGCAGAAAAAAGAAAAAAAAAAAGTTAAAATGTTAAAATAGATGTGGGACAAGTTATATTGATCATGCATTTCAGCATACATAATGGACAGATGATCTGTTTCTGATATATTTCACTACATGATAGATGTACTGAAATATATTCCATTGTCTGTTTCAGTTAACGTGACACTTGAGAAGTTGTCCATGTTTGGTCAGAGCTGATGGCACAGAAAAAAAGTCTCGTTGATATTCTCTTCAGTGGAAAGAAAGATATTGTAAAACTCTTCTTCCATAGAAAATGAATCTAATGACATTGTAGGATTCATGAGGGAGTTTTGTACTTTAGAATAGTGTAGTCTGTCCAGAAAAATGGTGTCCTTCAGTGATACAAAGTTGGCACAGTCTAGCATAGGGATACTACTTTAATAGCTGGTGGAGAAGCTGTACATATATAAACCAAACAACTTCAATGGGATTAAAAGAAACCAAATTTAATTAATCTGCAATGAAAAGAAGAAGAAACTGCCAAGGAATTGTTGACTCAGTGGTTCTGAATGAATATTTCTCACCAGCTCAAGACAATAAAGCCAACCTGATATAGTACTGCAATATCAAAAGTAAACTTTGACTGCATTCATTATCTTTGTACAGCATTTTTACATTTAGGCAACCCTTGTGGAAACTAAGGAATTTAAACAATTTAAACATTTAAGGAATGTGCCACCATCTTGTGGAGAGATGGCTACAGTACAAACGACACGATGCACTGCTGTAATGCTGCCATTTTTACTCTACTTTGTTGCACCAGGGAATCTAATCAAGTGGATCTCCGTGTAATTACTAAAAGGCTTTCAGGATTTAAAGTTGAAAATGAAGTGTGTAATAATTCTATGAAGGCATCTGTAAACAGTTAAACACTTTTATATTAACAAAAATATAAAGTTCTACTTCAAAACCTTTAGCATTCGCAAAATTATACAAACAGATCAAACTAGCTGATGCTACCACATAGAAAACACTGGAGGTTTGTTTTCAGTCCTGGTTAATGTTTAAGCCAGATGACTGAGCTGTTAAACTTTAGATGAGCAACAGCGAATGGTCAAATCAAACAGTCACTTTAAAATGTATCAGAAATTAAAAATGATAAATAAGCACATTTCAAAAAGTGATTAACATTTAATGGGCACATTTACTTTTTTTTTCTTTTACATAATTAAAAAAAGAAGCTTTTAACCAGTTTAGAGATTTTTTTTTTTTTTTGGGGGGGGAAGCATTACACTCATCTTCACTCTTGTGTATTATTATTATTATTATTATTATTATTATTAGCCCAAACCTGCATTTCCTTCTGCATCTCCACAGACATAGACGACTGGCTGGTCCTGCTTCTGTAGCTGATCTTAGCATTCCGGGAGCTGAAGGACATGGCTTCAACTTTTCTTCCTTAAGAAAACTCCTCATAGAAGAAAAAAATTACCCATACATCCAACCACTGCTCCTTTTTTTCTTTCAAGTTAATTTAGTTAAGTTTGCAGAGATTTTGCAGAACCCTTCCTCTTCGAAGCACTTGTGTTGTTAGTTACCAGGGCAACAAAGGAGCAAGAAGAGAAAAAAAAAACATAGTGGGTGTGACGTTTTTCCTCTCTTCTCATTTTTTATTTCCTTTTTCACCAATTTGTCTTTCAAAATAGAAAGCATTTAGAACATTAAATGCATGTGACATTGCATTAAAAAATATCAACGTATGGAGAGACTGGTAATAATCAATTTGCACTATCGTGGCAGTGTTCAATGCTTATCTACAATTTTTATAACAGTATTACAATTGCCTTCGACAAGTAGAGAAATTATTAAATTATTATTTTTAATAAACCTCACTTTGAAATAAATAGGACTCGCCCTTTAAGTTGTGCTTGCATTTAATAACCCTCACGGTGCAATGTATTTGAACAACCCCTAGATGGCAGTAGCTCAACATATATAGGAAAAAAAGACTGAGCCGGAGCTCATAGGGAGAACTGGGTTAGGTTTGTGGGGCAAATGACCTCATACTGTAGCATCATCTTCATCAGCAGGAGATGAAGAGCGAGTGAACTCATCCTTTCATTTTACTATCATTTTGTCCCGCATATGGGCAAAGTCATGCTAATATAATACCGATAACATGGAATAGCTTACAATATGAGTATTCCTGTAGTCGGATATAAAAAAAAAGATAATAATCATCTAATTAGAAAACCAAATATTTTATTGACAAGAAATTTAACAAATTGTTTGCGAGAAGGTAGTCTATAAAGAAGAGGAGGCGGAGTAGTTCCCGGTGGATGTTATGATGTTATCTGTCGGAGCATCTCCGCTTAAGCAATTAAGACAGGATCCTGACACCCACGCAGTCCGCATCAGCACCGCAGCGTGTGGCGCACATCAAAAAAGAAAAAAAAAAAAATATTGGGTGGCGCACATTGCACCAAACACCCCCCCCCCACCCCCCGCACACCCCCAAACGGAATCCCAGGATATCCCACCCTCACCCACCCCTTGAATCGGAATAGCCCTCCTTCATCTGTTCTCCTCCTCTTTTACCTCCGCCTTCTCTCATTATCGTCCCCCACCCTCCTCCCTCTTCCTCCGCCACCTCCTCCTCATCCTCTGCCTCACGTCCCAACTCGGGAGCGCCGCCGATCGGTCGCCAGGATTTTCCCCTCTCGGCCAAAACGGAGGAGGCTTGTCGCTCATTGAGGGGATAGGATATTATGGATCGGCTTCAATGAAAGTCGCCAGGATTCGCATTCGTTGATCGGTTCCGACTTGAAGCAATAGAAACAACCCACGGATACCTAAAGCCGTTTCCGCCCGAGCGACCGCAGCCATGAGCGCAGGAGAGGGGCTAGATGAGGCTGCAAAGGACGCGGCAGACATAGCGGCGTTTTTCAAATCGGGTAAGTCAGGGGGAGGAAAAAAAAAAAAAAAAAAAAAAAGGGGCGAGTCTGCCTCTGACAGAGCCGAAGCAAAAGCTCTCCGTGTGTTTACCTGCTGGTCCTGGAGGTTATTATTTACAGATGTCACAAAATGCCTACGCGTGAGAGTCGCGCGCCACACCGTGCGTCTGAGGGGCTGGTGGCGAAACAGTTTGTAGTTATTTACATCATTCCAGTCGAGCACCGACCTGTCATATTGCAGCGTTTTATGGGAACAGCGCGAATATCACCCTCAAATTTTCCGAAATGCTCATTAAACAGTGTGCCCATCTCGGGGTTGGACCAAATCTGTTACGAGGTGTAAATGGCTACAGCCCCGACAATGCTGATTGTTTTGACGTAACATCCATCACGAACCCATTGACGGCTCACGGAGCAGCCTTCAGAATGCATGCATAGAGGCCAGTCGACTTAAACAATGTGAAATGTGTAAAAGGGAAATGTGGAGGTGTGTGTGCAATGGGCGCCCCTCTGATGTGATGGCATCGTCAATACAAAATAAGGTTGGGCCTGTTTACTTTCAAACCCTAACAGTCAAAACATCATCATCTTAAGCAGATTCAAGCAGGGTGCACTCCTGGCCCTATAAACAATGCTTTGCAAAAGTATTTATTGCTACAACAAACTTGATTCTACTTAATTGGAGGTGCATAGCAGCACAGTAATGCATAATTGTAAAGGGTATTAGTATTTTATTTTAATAAAAGTCTGAAAATGGTGGCATGAATATGTGTTCATCCCACTTTAATCTTATTATAGCTACATAAAAACCTAAATTGTCCTTCGGAAAACACCTAAAACTTGTGTGGAATTTGAGCTGAGTGTAAATACAGCTGTTTTTAAAGGCCTCCGACTGGTTGCAGAAGTGAACAGAGAGATTCACGGACACCAAGTACCTCAGCATACAGGTCAGGGATGAGAAAGCAACATCATCCAAAGCATTGAGCATCTCACAGAGAACTACTCAAATCTGCTGGGTGATGGTAGGAACACATTTTCTTCAGGGGGTGAAGGTTCACCCTGCAGCAGGGCAGCCACTGTAAACATACAGGCAAAGGTAAAACGGCGTGGTCTAGATTAAAACACATCCATGTGCTGCACTGACTCTTAAGAGTCAATTTATATTCTAAATAGCTTGAGAATTATTTATAAAAGAATAGGGAAATACTTACAAACGTTCAAGTATACAGTTCTACCATGACATATCATGAAAGAGTTCATTGGATAGGAATACTTTAGCAGGACTCTATTTATTTATGCTTATTGACCTCCAGCATGTTTAGCTTACAAAACAGAGTCTTTGAAAGGCCCAGTTTCAAGTCAAAGTCCAAGATGGTGTCCAGATCAGCACTCACCAAAACAACCAGCTGTCTCTGTCTCCTTCAGCTGCTTCCCTCTGTGACACTTGGTGCCTTCGGGTCTGCAGGTCAGCTTCCCCTCTGGCCAAGAGCAAGCAGGGATGCTAACTTTTTCTTGTGTCCACCTAGATGTGATTGTAAACTCTTAGTTATCATTGATTTTTCTGACTTGCACACCCAGATATACATGGACTATAGACTGCCCTGTTCTCTCCAAACTGCCACTGACAGTCAGACAGTTAGGACTGTTGTAGAAATGGATTGTATTCAAATGCCTTCTTATGTCTGGCTGGATGCCTGCCAGTGTGTATTTTCCTATAGCTGTGTTGTACCCAGCCGGAAAGTTGGCTTGCAAGTGAAGCTGGGTCTGCTTGGATGTTTGTGTAGCGGCAAATGCAGTTCATACAGTATTCATGAAGGAGACAGAAATAGTTTGTACCCTGAGGAATTTTTTAATGTTTTTTTTTTTTTTTAAAGAGACTATTATGAAGCGAAAGTATGGAAAACCAAGTCGGTTGGGAAACAGCACAAGAACGCTGTTGCAAGTTGCGTTTGTGGCACACAGTTTAGAACCGAGGGTTCTGGAAGTTCTCAGACATTTTGTTCACATTTTCTATTCATTCCAGGGGAGAAAAACAACTTTTATTGATTTCCATTGTGTTTATGACCTTCATAATGAACATATTAAGTTGTATAAAGACTTTACTGCATTCAGCCTGTGTTTTATTTACTGTTTTTATTCCTGAACACTTCAAAGCCAGTTAGTATTGTCACTGATGTCTCATTTGACTTTGCTGTCTTTATTATCCATCTATATTTGTTTTCACAAACGCAGTCTGTCTAAACATGACATCCCTGTTTATTTGGTCATACAGGCACTCCATATGTGGAGTGCAACAATCTCCCCCTAATAGATGCCAGCTTGTTGCATGTTGAAATCTTTGCACACAGCTGTAGGGTCTGGCTGATCCCAGGGAGTTTTATTTCTGGGGCTCTGTTTACACTTTAGCTGCCCTCCTTCTTCAGAAAAGATGAAAAGCAAACATGCTACAGATTCTTTTGCCAAACAATAACTTTGTTGATTGACTGGCAGCCTGATTAAAGTGAGATGCTAATTTCTCTATTAGTCAGATATGGAAGTATGGTTGTACGATTCAGAGCTTTAGAGCTAGTTGTTTGGCTGATTAAATTTTAATTTGCCTCACCTGGACGGAAAGTATTATTATTGGCTTTTTGCAAGACTTGATGCTTCTTTCTGCTTGATTATTTTCAGGGAGCAGATGGTGCTTCATCTCAAGCCCACTCTGTTGCTTTGGATTACAGCTCAGCTGCTGAGTCACCCTCCCAGGTTGCTCATGCCATGACTTCACATCCCTGCTTTCAAATTGTGCCAAATATTCCTAAATGCCAGTGGCTAAACGGACAATATAACTTTATCACTTGAGTTAAATAAAGGTAACTTAAGCCCAAGGTCTCACTTAAAAGGCATATTTCCAGATTGTCTACTTTTCAGTTGTGCTTAAGGCTTTCATCCATCCTTTCATCCACTGGGTATACCTACTTACCTATGCAGGGTCATTGGGACCTGTCTCCAGCGGTCAAGTGGTGGGTTACAGACCAAACAGTTTTGCTAGTCCATGACCACACAGAGATACAAGGACAAACAAGCCGCCACATACTCGGTCATATGAGCAATTTAATCAGACCAGTCGACCTAATGTGCATGTTTTCATACCGTGGGAGGTAGCCAGAGAACATGTAGAGAACCCACACTTGTACTGGAAGAACATTCAAACTCCATGGAGAAAGACCTCAGGCTGGGATTCGAACCCAGAACCTTCTTGCTGCAAAGTAATAGTGCTAACATCTGTGTTAGCACTATGTGTTATATATATATATATATATATATATATATATATATATAACCAAATCCCATGAAAATAAAAATTATAGAAACATCTATACTTATTTCATGTGACTGAGGTCAAACTGTTGTGTTCACAGCCAAACAGACTTTAAAAAGCCAAACAGACTTTAAAAAGAAACTAAGAAACTGATATCTATCTATCTATCTATCTATCTATCTATCTATCTATCTATCTATCTATCTATCTATCTATCTATCTATCTATCTATCTATCTATCTACACACATGTATATAAAAAAGAAACTAAATGCAAGGTAGATGAGCACATGATGGAAGTTACAAAAGACTGTTACATTTGGAGGAATCTGCTATTAATGCAAAATACCATAACTAACAAAGAAGAAAGTAGCCATAATGTATACATTACTTCAGTAAAAACTTTCATCTCATAACTATGTGGCAATTTGTACAGTGAGGAGGAGGAAGTCAGAAACAATCTTCTCTGAGAGGCAGCAGCTCGGAAACTGGATTCAGGTCACTTAAATTTTTCTATAAAGCCAGCTGACAACAAATATCGTCTTAATGCACTGTATGAAAAAAAAATCTATTCCATCCAATCATTCACTGTTTCAAAGTCAATTATATATTTTCCAATTTGATCCCAGTTATCAAACAATGCACTCAGTTTAAGTTTATTTTTCAAATTGACTAAAAAGTTTTAAGTCTTATGAAACTCAGTGACTTTCAGCATTCACTCCTTCTAGACCAGCATGAAGCATAAGTGGACTGTCGACTCCATTGTGCTGCAACCGAAGACGCAGTATCACACCGTAAAAACTCAGCTGCTATTTTTCTTGTGAAAAAAACAAACAAACAAACTAGCATTTGTTTTACCCTAAAAGGTTCTTTCAAGCTAGTGGCATGCAATGATGAGAGAAGCTGAAATCCTGATTATAGTCAAAGTCAAACACTTTCTCCATCATTTAGCTCAGACATTGAAGAAAATAAAATAACTCAGCGGTGCAGGTAATTATTGTAAGTAAACATACGAGAGGAAATTTACGACAGAACAGTTATTGTTTTTATGAATATGGTCTGTAGATGGAACAAAATGTTTTGCACTGACAGAAGATACAAACACTCTGAGCACAGATTTCCTGTTCCTGCGTAGCTAAATAGGGAAAATGAAGAGTGCTCACTCCTTCCTTTACTGGCTTGCCAATAAGGAGCTACATAAATATACAATATTTTCCTTGAGGAAGATGCTTTTTAACACATCAATCTGCTTTCTTCTGACAGCATGCATTTGCTTTAGACTGCTCCTTATGACATGGAGCTCTCAGTACTGCAAGGCAGATTTCATCTCAGTAAGACCTGATTTAAAGGGGTTTTAGTTGGTTTATGTCCAAAAAAGGCACGGTCAAATTATTAATTGGTGCTGAAACATAGTGGAAAGTCAGGATGTTATATTTGTTAGCATATTGATGAAGATTTGTACATTTTGGGTTTTATGTTGCAATTAATAAGTAATTGTAAGTCTTTGTACGGGATGCATGTTTTGTCCTTGTAAATCATTTTTGCAATACAAGAATCTTTCTCGGGATTTCAAATATTTTAATGAAAAAATTTCAGTGCTTGAGGCAGATTTTCTCAACGAGTGGAAACAGACGCAAAATCAGTTTTCTCAAGGTTTTGAAGACACAAGATAGAGGCATTTTATTTTACACAGAAACAAC